CTGGCTGGAGTGCTGATGTAGGGCTGAGAACTGCGCAAACTCTCGGCGAGCTTCCGCCAGCTGCTGCAACTCGGCTGGATCGGACATATGGAAGAGTGGTTTGACCTGCGTCAAGTAGGGATGAGTGCCGGGCTAGCATGTGAGCACACATCCACAAGACAGGGCATGCTTGCAAGTGCGCCTTCGGCCGGCTCGTAAACCAGACTCCACAGAACTCACAAGGCCGCTGCAACCGGCCACGGTTTTTGATCCACTGAAGGACCGCCGGCTGCTGAATTGCGAGAGCTTTATGGGATTTGCAGGCATGCCGGCTGAGGTATGATGCGTCTGCTACCCACTGAAAACATTCCGGGCAGTGCTGCAAAGAAAACTCGTCACGGATTCTTTTGGCCATGACGCGCAATTGTGTAGGTCCTCGCCTGGCCAGCTCCTGTAGGGCCGGATCTTGAAACACCGTGGCAGGAACAGGTTCTGGGCTGGCCGTAAGAGGTTCGGGGTGGGTATCAACAGGCTCTTCCGGCGCGAGCGCCCCTTCAGCAAAGAGCCTGTGTGTTGACAAGTGTGAGGGGATGTCGGCGGGGTCGTGAAGGATCGGGGCTGTGGTATCTTGCAGGATCAGGACAGGACAGGCTCTTTGGGAGATGTGGCCCATGAATGACGGCCAGCCACTGAACTTGCGTAAGCACAGTCTACACTGTGGCATGCCTCCCAACGAGAATTCCCTGTACTCATCCTTCCTTTGGTACTTCAGAGTAGTGTTAGTGGTTTTGGAGGGTTGCACTTCCGGATGCTGTTTACCTATGTGAACTCGCAACGCATGGGTGCTGGGAAAGGCCTGACCACACTGCGGACAAGCGCATTTCAGACGAACCACCTCGGTGACTTCAACGAGCGTGCTGGGTCCACTGGCTGCCGAAGTCGTGACATGTTGCTGAAATTCCGACAAGAGTAAAGACCACCATTGCTGGACTCTAGGAGGCTGAATGTGTGCAACAACTGTCCTACAGCTATCCACCCTAGTTTGGCACTGACGGAGCAAGAGACCCAGCGGTTCCTCACACGAGAGGCGGGCTAAAAGCTGTCCATTGGTTTCTCGTGAGAGATGAGCCGGACTGCGGCCGACCACTCTAAGCTGTTTGAAAACCATGCCCCGAAGTTTGGTCGCACTTGGCTCATCGACACCCACGGCAGTGAGACTGTAGCTGGCAATCGTCCAGACGCATGTGCGCCACAGCGTGATGCGCTTGCGCAACGGTATGAGCGCGTTTTTAAGGAAGGGACGCAGCCTATGAAAAGCTGTCCATGCTAACCCAAGTCTGTAAGACAGATTTTCCCGTTCAAACTTGCCATACGAGATTTTGACGCCTAGGTACACATGCGAGGATCGAATGGGCAGTGTAAGTGTGCCATGTGGATGCGCAATGCGAAGCAGCCGCGCTGAGGCTTTGCGAACAGTGTACGTCTTGAGAAGTTGGGGAACCTCAGGGCCTTTCATGCTGAGGAGGACTACTGTCTTTTCTGGGGAAATCTGCATGCCTAAATCGCGAAAGACACTGACAATTCTCGGGATTACAGCAATTGCATTGGTGAAATCTCTGGCGGAATGCAGTCGCCATAGCATGTGCACATCGTCTGCGAAAACTGTGGTGGCCTCACGTGGGACGAGCGCTTCCACTGCATCAAAAAGCAAGAGCGTGAAACAAATCCACAACAGTGGGCTGAGCCCACAACCCTGACGTATGCCCCGCCCGAGGGCAACTGATGTGCTATGCTCGTAGCGAGTTAATACAAGTCTGGCAGAGTTGTGTATTGCTAGCACGAGGGAGATGATGTCAGGGGGTGCTTGCACTCGCTGCAGGGCCCGGACCAATACATCTCTTGGCAGGGAATCAAAAGCTTTTGTCAGGTCTAAGGATAACTGCAGCCCGCCCGTGAAATGGCGGTGAGCTGTTTTGCTCCGTTTTTGAAAGAGCAAGCCCTGGTAAGAGTGGATGTCGTCGCGGACCTCCCTGCAGTGCGATATGACGCGATCCAAAGCGTCCGAAGAACATCTGCCGACACTGTAAGCGAACTGTGGCATTGCAAAGACCGCATGCTCAACGAATGGGTGCAATCGGGCGGCTACTGCTCTAGCCAAGATTTTGGCCATGCAAGGGAGTAAGCATATCGGGCGCAAGTTACATGGCTTACACGGCGGTTTGCCTACTTTGGGTAACAGGGCAACATGGGACTCATTCCAAGTGGGGTCAAGGCGAATGAACTCACCAGAAGTAATCTCGTTTAGTTGCGATGTTATGGGGGCAATTAACAGGTCACTTGCTTGTCGCCACAGGGCTGCCGGCGAGTGCCCTGGTGGCAGAGCCTTGCGGACTGAAACAGATTGCAGGGCTGCCGCAACTTCTGCTTCCGAGAAGACCACTGACTGCACTGTTCGTATCGGGTCTGCATTTTGAAGCTCAGAGTGATACAACGCACTGAAAAAGCAGCGCAGTTGTTCCAGCTCAGCGGAAGCAGACAGAAGTTGTCCACTGTCATCCCGAAAATGGATGGAGCGCTTGGCCGTTTTGGGGCTTAAGCGGTGGATGAGCTTATAAATCCCCGAAAGATTGTTAGGTCCAGCGGTTTGGGCTTCTGCGATCAGCGAATCCACTTTGTCAGTTTTGGCTCGTTTGGCTCTGCTCCGGAGGGCCTTATCCTGCTTGACAAAGCTCGTCAGCTTCCGCCAGAAGTCCACAATGGGTGCTAATTTGTGCAGGACTCCCGGTCTCAGGCGCTGAATGAGACTAGATGGTCTATCCAGGATATGCATCAGGACTGGGGATGTGTAGCCACTGACAGTGTGTTGCGATTCCTTGAATAGGCGTTTGGTTTGCCAGAAGTGCTTAAGGCAAATGCGTTGTGGTCCCGTGGGGGAGTGGGCGCGGGAGCATGACTGTGTGGCTGCTGCCGTGGAATCTAAGCTTTGTTGCCACGCCTGGGCAAGGCAACCGTCCAAATTGACGTGCGGTGACACAGTCTGGCGCACCTGTTCTCGAAAGACGTCTGCTAGGCAATCGGATTGGGCCAGCTGCTGCTGAACTTGCCAGGCAGAGAGCGACGAGCGGGGTCGACAGCTAGGGGCTCGAGGCTTATGGAAACAGCATTCAACCGGTACATGCCTGAAACCCGTAGGGTGTACAATACTCGCATTGGGCAGGGCTCGGGCATTAAGGTGCTCGGGCTGATTGCGTAGGCGAGTCAGCACAAAGTCTAACTGAACAGCTGCTGCGTGAGGCTGCAAAAATGTGGCCGATGCTGGGCCGCGGCGTCCTAAAGTGTTGGTCGCTTGCAAGCCTAGATTCGCAACTAAGCGCTGAAAGGTAGGCTGGTCCCTATGGGGTTCGGTAGGGTGCCGGGCGATGCCCTGACCTACGTGAGGAAGCTGGGGTTTCAGGGTGGCATTAGCGTCGCCGACTATGAAAAGTGCATTGCGGAGTGGAACTGCCGGGGCCCAGCGTTGAATCACATCCCACACTTGGGCTCTGCGCTGAATCAGCTGCTGCACACGTTCCTCGGCATCCCCTTCAAGCTGTTTATGGCCAGGATTCCAAGCATGTTGATAAATTCCTAAGACATCTATGGCCGGCGAGGTTTCAATCCTGAGATGGACTGCGCGACCCGGAATGTGTTCTAGGTATCTAATGCTAGCCTTGGGAACTAATGTTTTAGCTACCATGAAGAGGATGCCTCCCTGAATCGTGGAGCTACCGCTATGCACGCAATGCCAAAGATCGGTGGAGAATTCAGAGCTGTGGGGCCAATGACTCTCTTGCACTACCATGACGTGCAGCAAACCGGCTCGATGTCGGGAGTCGGCCCACGCAACCAATTCGGCAAAACGAGCAGCATGCAAACCCCCACTATTCCACGTGACAAGCCACAGCTTAGGACGGGAAGGCGTGGGTGTCGGGGTCTTATGGGTTAGGGTGGGTCTAGCTCTACTGCTGGAGTCCGGCGTGGTCTGATCTGGTTTGAGTTTGCCAGCCTGGAGAGCATCAACTGTGTAGTATCTACCTCTGTAAACAGTACCAGTACCGTCTTTGAGGGCCCTAACTTGTGCACGCTTGAAGGAGCGCTTTCCCGTGTGAGTGCGGCTGGCGAAACGTCCGGCCCGCACAGGTAACTGTGCCGGTGGCTGCGCAGGGGGCGCAAGAGCGCTCGGACACGGGGCCGCCAGAGCGGGACTGCAGAGCAAGCTCCAACAGAGTAGGCCTAGCCAGAACACTAAAGTCCGCAAGGATGGCATGGGGATGCTATGAACCCTATTTGTGGCGCGGGGTCGGGTAGGTGTCGAGGTATGGTCGTCCGAATGTTCGACCGCTCGCATCCTGCACCGGCAGCGGTTGCGTATTGCTACGGGAGGCTTCCGCCACTCACTGCAAAGGCGGCGTCGGTACACTCCTGGCAGAATGCGACATGTGCGCCAACAAGCGGTGCTGCTGTGCAAGGCTCGCACAAGCCGTCTAGCACTCCTGCGACACACAGTGGGCAAGAGGAGCATCAGCAGCCAGGGCATCGGTCCTGTCAGATCGGCCACTCGAGCACATGTGGGTGTCATTGGGATCCTGAAAAAGAGCACCATAGAGGAAAATGCGAAATCTCGGAGGTGAAACGGGTGTCTCGCAGCGACAGTATCGTTACTAGTGTGACGGGTACGATTAGCTTTGCCAATAGTACAATGGGAAAATGGGTCGATGAGCTTTGCTTCAAGAGGGGTTTTGTCAAGCACAACTGATTGAGCTTCAGGAGAAGTCCGACCTGACCACTCTCCCACCCTCACGTCTACATGGGGCTCTGTCCTGGTTGTCATCACGGTCTTCGTAGCCCCCATGCCCCTGGACTTGGGGCAGCACAGCCTATACTGTTTGTCTGGTAGCTCACGTGTGTGCACGATACTCAGAAGGACTTGCCGGCCAAGCGTCTGCACATGACTCTGACCAGCAATCGGAGTCGATTGCAGATCAACGTCGAATGGAGGGTCTGTCGCCGGAGCCAGATGCTGGTTCCGGGACGGTGTCCACATCGTCATCATCATGGTCAGCTGCGCCATCATGTACTGCGCGAGGGCGGTCTTGCGGCGAATCGTCATTCCAAGGTAACTCCTCGCGCACACCTCCGTCATGGAGGCCTTGTCTGTATCGTCTGAACCAGGCCTGCAGCGAGAGCTGGGTCGAAGAATCCAGCAACGGCCATACCACAAAGAGACTCTCTTGATAAAATCCCAGTGTGGCAATAGAGGCCACCTCCGCCGCAAATTGCTGGGTGTCAGAGCTGACGAGGTCAGCACGGAATCGCTGGGCCAACAGGATCTGATACTGCTGTTCAAGTAGGTGCTTGGGAGGGTCCCCTTCTGCTCCAGCTTCCAAAAGCCAGACCAAATCGTTGGGCGGAATGGGTGTGGCCAATTTGGCTTCCAGCACGTCGAGGTCCTGCCTGAGTTGGGCAGCAAGTTCCGGTTCCAGCTGCGGGCCAGTAATGTACCTAAGCTGGCGATAATCGACTGCCGCAGAGTGTACGCGTCGGCGGAAACCTCCAAGTCTTTGCGTGACCTGCCGGTCTGGCACGCCGTCTTGGCGTAGTTGGCGGGACAAGTAAGCGTAGCATAGCCGAAAGACAAGCTGCTTTTTGAAGATTTCCAATCGCTCCGACAGCTTGTTGAGTCTGTCGCGCTCTGCAGTGGCGCGCTGTGCAGCCTGTTCCTCTGGATCACTTGGCATGGCCAAGGGGCTGAAGGAGGAATCTGTGCCCGAATGACCAGATGAAGTATCAGAAGCCAGCGAACGAGGCATGCAACGACCATGAGTGAGTGTGAGCTACCGTCGGGGAGAGGCTCGTGCCGAGACGCTTATATGATCCTCATGGAATTATATGGTTATGCAGGGTGAACTGTCATATGCACCGTATGGTGGATGAATATAGTTATAGTTAGACCAGATATATTGACTGTATATACAAGTGGGGTCTCTATAGATATATATATATATATATATATATATATATGCACATATATATATATATATATATATATATATATATGCATATGTATAGCATATACATAGGAAAAGAAATCGAGTTATGTGTACATGATGAAATTTAAACATTTATAAGAATGCTAAAAAGATATTGGCAGCATAGCATTGGCTCTAATCTTGGGCATGGGTCCATATCGCTATATAATTATAAAACCATTAGCATAAGTGTGTGTATATATATATATACTGAGGCTACTGTGTGCCTCACACGAGCTAGCTACCGATCCCTGTGTTAATAGTATACACATATATGTATATATTCATATATATTACATGCATGTATTTACACATGTATATCCTGTACATGTGTATCTCGTCTCATAAACTCGGATATGTATAATTATAATAAGTATCATACTATGAGCTAGCCTGATTAATAGAATTGCGAGGACATCGCCTACGGTGCAATATACACTCGTGATGGTATGTTGATGGTATACTGCAGGGACCAGGGTCTGAGGGTTCGAAGCTAGATCGTATCCTTTGGATTTCTTTCCGGAGGGTTCCCACAACTAAGGCCTTATTACATGGGCTACTCCAATGAATAAGCTATTGCTAAATTACACTTGTCCAATTAACTGGTCCTCTGGGAAAGATCACCATACAGACTAGCCGTGCTAACCGGCAGGAACCCACAGGTGGACGTGCTCAAGCGCATGTGGCGACTGAAGGCTTCCGATGCCATGCCTGATGAAGCTTACCTCAAAACCCGATGGATGGGAGTCTGTTGATTTTGTAGGTGCAATATATATCGCTTAATGCGAGTCTGTGTTACCCAGTACTATTGTTATAGCAATCCCCTCGGAAATCCCGAACACAGATGGTCTCGGCCATTTTTTTCATTCCAATCCCAGGACTTCGAAGCTCCACCGCCCGAGCCCGATCGCGAGGGCCAGGAGGAGGAGGCCGACCGAACCCTGGAGGAGGCGGACAAGCTTGCACAGATGCTGTCCCCGAAGGGGATTAAGCATCGTGGGGCGAGGGTGATGGGTTTCTCTCCTGAGGAGGTAACTTGGCCATCGCAATATACGAAGTCTGGGGCAGACATGTTTTTTTTTGGTAAGGGAGTACACGGCTGCTGCGAGAGATAGACAGAGAGTTTAAACTTTAAAGATCTAGATAACTGACAAGACGACTGCCATAGTAAAACATTCTTATGTCGGTAATAACATCGAAGTTCACGGATCACATCAATAACCATGGCCTAGGGATCCGGGCGAGTTACGATCGTAATTCTTTTTTGGTAACAACATAGATTGTGATTAAAATAGAGCGTCAGATGAACTTTCTATCTGCTCCGAAATCTATGACATTTCTATGAAAGTGCTAATCTGACCATGTATGTCTCTGTAGTTTAATTGGAGACACACACATATACCTAGCTATATACATAGAATCCTTTATGTATATCATTCGGACTCTAAGTTATTTACATAATTGTTATTATAATTATGCACTTGCCGATAGCCTGCAGCAACCACCTTGCCCAGTACTAGCAGGTCCCTTTCATGAAAATACCACGACTACCCTAGGTCAGACGCAACCTACTTCACTCAAGGTAGTGCTGGCGAATCTTGATGCAGATCCGGAGCTCGCGCCTCCGCAAGTTCCGGCACTACCAGAGGCAGCCCCTGAGCCGGATCATCATGACAAGTCGTCGTTTGCAACGAAAGAGTCTAGCCTCGATTATCTGCATATGCATTGTTGTTGTTGAATCCTCTTCGGACTAGCAATCTTCCGAGATCAGGATCGGGAACCCTTGATACGGTTCAGAGAAGCCCCCCCTGCGGAGTTCATGGATGCAAGCTGTGATCAAGAGTTTCGGCGCTATGACCACATCACAGCCGCTCAAGATGTCGTTCGTACACGTATCAGAGAGGTCCCATGGTGATCCAGTTAAGATCTGCAGTTCACTGTATCATGATACCCCTGAAAATGACTGGAGGCTGCTGCCAATGATGAGAACCGCCGGATCGCCAAGAGGAAGCGGGACGGTGGGGGTCGTGGCTTCAAGGTCGCGAAGGTCGCGACCGAGGGTGAGGTGCCCGGGGGCGCCGATGATCATGCCAATGATGAGGAAGGTGATGAGGGTGATGATGCGGGACCGATTCTTAAGAAGCCTGCAAGCCGTAACACAAGACTTCAGAAGCTCATGAAGAAGGGCGGTGAAGCTGCTGGCTCTAGCAAGGATGGGGCCTCTAAGAAGGACAAGTCATCACCGAAGAATGCGAAGAACTCCAAGGCCAAGGATGTATCCCCGGCGCAGCTGAGAAAGAGTAGCAAAAGGCTTGACAAGGCTCAGGCGATTTTGCAGACCCTGAAGAATGCTGAGCTCCCGAACCTTGTTTGTCCTGATGAGCTGAAGAAGCAGAGCCTCAGTTTGCACAGATCGATGTATACATTCATGCAGGTTGAGCTGTGTACGTGTTCATATATGTGCATGTTGCTACGGGGACTCAGGAGCTTTACTGTGTACTGCAGTGGGAAGAAGCAGAGGAAGGGCTCCAGTGCTACGACCTCTTCCATCGGCGTCATTTTGTGTTCGGAGTCCTTCTATGTCAAGCAGGTCTTGCAGCAGGTTGCTGAAAGCCCTGTCATCAAGGATCGCAAAGGCGGGGCAACGATCCCGTGGCATACTTTTGAGGATGGTGTGTCAGCTGCGTGTCTTGTTAGCATCTTCACGATATATATGCAGCAGTGTGTGTTTGTGCTTTCACACGTAGGTATACCGTAATTGATTAGGAGCCCACAGCCTAGGTGGGAGCATGCGAGATTGTTGGCTGGATGGATGAAGAATGCAACTGGATGTGAAAATACTCTGCATACAGCTTCATGATCAGTGCAAAGCTTGGTTTGTCAATAATTTGCGGTTCGACCCAAGGCAGTGCCATGAAGGTGGCAGTCACGAAGCGCGGGGAATACCATGGATGTCATCGGGCTAGGATGGAATCCAAGCCAAGGGGTTCACATGGGCTAGGGCTCATGTTTTCAACGGGTGCCAATGTTGTCTTTCTCTAGCATATAATCAATAAGACCCAATATATGTTATGCTCCTATTTCTCTGGGGGATAGATTCCTTTATGAAATCGGTATATGCCTAGGCCTAGCTACACCTATCGAGCTACCTAGCTTCTACTTCTATGGGAAGTTATTATTACTTCGGTCTCCGAGGCTGCTAAACTTTAGGGAGGCAAGGCACCTGTGGCCGAGTTGGGCGGCGTCGCTGCCAGCCTGACGATGATCATGGTCACGAGCTCTATCTCGAGCTTCATACCAATTAAATCTCAGCTCAGCCATTAAAGCATCTGCACCGGTGTGTTGCACACATGCTGCTACAAGTACCCTCCCTAGACACCGAAAGGCTAGATATTATAGTTTCAATAAGTTATAAGGTCCGGTTCATCAATGATTGCTGTGTCGCAACTGGTGTGAATGCTTTCAGTGCTGCAGCACATGCATCTTTAGTGTCTGGCCGAGCCTTGCACGGGGTGATGTCATGGCTTACGTTATAATGCTTTATTGCGACCAGATATGTTACACCAGCCTGAGCTGCCATAGGATTCGGTACAGTCATGCACTACTCAATTATAATGACATGGTCGCGAGGTGCAGGCAACAGATCATGATTCGAGTGCAGCCACATGTAGAGCTGTACTTACCGGGTCATCGGATGAAGCTGTGGAGTCAAAACCAAAGCTCGAGGATGGTTGGCTTGGATCATTTGATACTACTAAAGCTTCAAATGATAGTGCAGCTCCCTCGAAGGTGTGGCAAATCCGTCGCCTGGGACAAGGGCCAATGCAGAGCGGCTTCAACGAGGTGCTCCCAGGCTTTGCATGCAGATGTTGCTCTAGCTGTATATGTATGTTGTGTGATGAACATGAATTTATGGCGAAGCTTGCTGTGAGGTAGGACTTTCTGTGTAGCAGTGTGCTGGTCACCATGTTGCTCATTCTGGATGTGTTGCAGAGTGCTGCAGCAATGGCTCGTGGTCCGTGGTCTTGCCGGACAAGCTGGGTTACACAGCACACATGTACCATAGAGGCCTGAAAGATCATCTAGCCTACTAGTTAGTGGTAGCTCGAATACGGGTCCCTCCACGTTGTGTGGCTATCTGGTACAAGTACCTTTGCTATTCCCCTGCCATGAAGCTCTCCGAACTGAGAGCTCGGAAGAGCTTGAAAGTATCCAAACTGCAAGCTGCGGCAATGCTATGCCTTGGTGTGCCACCCATTGTGTGCCATGCAAGCACAAATACTGCATGTACATATACAGAGAGGTGTGTAGTGCATGTACATGTTTATGGCTGCATGCAAGGATTCATCTTGTCGACTACATGACCGAGTATCTCGACAAAGCTGGCATCAAGCGCCACAGGGACTCCAGGCTAGATTCGTGTACGGGTTTGGCTTCATGATCTTGCGATCTATGAGTTATTATGGATCGGGACCTAATCTAATTATATATATATATATAGACTAATAAGGACCTGGAGGCAGTGGAGATGTTCTGTGGGGTGGCCAGCATCGTCAGGGCTTTCAAAAAGGCAGGCTGCAGGGCGCACTGTGGCTGCATACATGTGGATTCAGAAATCAGTTACTGCAGTAGTTATCCCCTGTTCCCCAAACCCAACCCAGCCCAGGCAAGGCTATGATCGCGGCAGGGATCCAGTTCTTGAAGATTTGGGTAATACGCAAGGATTTCTGCGGGCTCTTGCTTTGGTCTTGCGCCTCAAACCAGGCGGATTATTGTTCGCTGGATTGCCTTGCAATACGTTCGGCTTCATGAGCAAATCCGTGCACCAGCGAACGCCTACATCTCCATATGGTGCCAATGTTCCTTCTGTCGTGATCGGCGACCTTCTGGCGAGTCGAACCTGCCTCCTGTTTTTGATCGCCCTGATAAGGTGTGTCTGTTGGGCCCTGGAGAATCCTGCGAGATCCCAGATTCCGTGGTTTCCGTACATGAGGCAGTTGCTGGGATTGCCCCTCTTTACACATTCCCAGGTGTTCTGGTGGTGGCCTCACTTGTTATTGGTAGTGACGTGTGTTCTCAATGTCGGTAGCTGGTGCTAAGCTGCCTAAGCTGGTACATGAGATAGCCTAGCAGAACATACGTCATGCCAAGGTGGATGGGCTTCTACGGCCACACCTCGGAGAAGCCCGAGTTGGGATTGGGGAATGTGCGCCCCGGTTCATATCTAGAATGTACTATGGGTTGCCACACTCCGCCGCTAATATCCTTTTGAAATCCCATATTATAATTACCTAGACCACCGTGGGTATTACAAATAACCATACATTTCGGTATTAATGGTTATAAAGCTAAAACCCGCCAAAAAGGTAATATTACCTTTCTTGGCTTTTAGGCTGTTTTGAAGGGTTTTGCCAGGGTTTGAGAGCATCTGCAACGAACCGATGTTCCCCATAACTTTGGTGGTTAAGGGTGATTTCAGAGGGTTCCGGCGACTCAGATTAAGGATGGGAGTCGGCCCTGTCAGTGACGATGCTTCGTCGATCCTCAGCTGTATGCTTTTGCTTCTGTAGCCCCTTCTTGGGCTGCCGCTGGGCCTCGCGAGGTGAGCCCCCCACCCTCGTACGTGTGCATGTGCTGATCTGCTCTTGTCGATCTGATTATGCACATGCATTAACTGCATTTGTTGCAGATTGGGTTGCTCGAGATTACAAAGGTTTCAGTGTGAGTTTTTCTCGATGGCAGCGGCAATGTTGTCTCGGTGCTCCCCAGTCGGGGTGGGCCTTGCACATGGAGCAGGACGCATCATCATGAGCATTCTTGAGCATCATAGGATTCGTGGTTCATTTGAGGTTTGCTTTTCAATCTTTGGCGAGGACTTCTGCATTTGCCAGATGATTTCTGGAATGCTGCCGTTCAAGCAATTTATGCCGACCAAAAGGACTGCAGATCGACTCGATGCAATTCCCTTGAAATCACAGGGGTTCAATCAAAAGATTATGGTTACGATCCGAGTCGTTGCCAGGACCATCCGTGTCCCGACAAGATGCTGGAAGATGTGGTGATGAACATAGAAAAGGGTGGCATCTGCAAGCACTTCGCCGACTTGTTTCAACATGGGCAAGGATTCTTTAGATCTGTGCTGCAGGCAATATATACGTACAGGGAAGACAGCTTCTACTGCGGTTAACATGCAAGCCCTGCAGGATACCTCTTGGTCGACAATATGCTTCTGGATGGTCCGTGACTCTATGCGATCGCAGCAACCCAATGTAGGAAGCTAGAACCAATGCAGGTTCATGCAGTTGGCACGAGTCTTCGAGTGACTGCACAGATGCTGCATTTTAGGGCTGGGGGAGCCAAAAAGATATTCTGTCGCTCAGTGCACCGCTGCAGATACTCGATCCGCCTTTTTTCTGCGAATACCCACAATAATGCCTTCGGCTTCGCAGGTCGATTTGAATGCATTGGCCCTGGCCGCTGCTGGCCGGGTCATCGACTTCGAGGCTCACTACCTCAGCTCCCAAAGGTATTCGTTTAATTCTGCCCCAACACAGGATCGGGATCTGGATCCTCATCATTTGCTATGGGTCAGGGCCCCATATATGCAATATATAAGGGTTGCATATATTAAGCCCACTGTGCCCAGGTCCGTTTGTGGACGTGGAGATTTGATTCAGAGCTGTGCGGGTCCTCGACTCAGCCCGTCACACTGCTCAAATCTTTTGGTTGGGCATGCACAATGATTAAACCACTATCCTTCGCAGGATTTGGGTTGCAGGATAGCTAGATAGTGCAGCCATGGCTGCAGAGGAGGCTCCTGATGCTGCAGATGCTGCAGCAGGGCACCTTCGTGTCCGCAGACAGCGGGGACAAGTTTGGCCGGAGTCGGGATTGCTAGCTAAAGCTTTCGAAGAGGACAACGAAATACGATCTATTTTCCGTCACAACAAAGGGCACTTGCTTCAGTGGCCGAAGCCATCATTGGTTGGCTGTGCTAGTTTGAAGGCACTGTCCCTCAACGTTGCCGTGTTGAAAATATCCTTGGAAGTCTGGGGTGCAGCGATTCCTGCACCAAAGAGCATGGCCATTGACTGGCTTAAGAAGGAAGCTACTTGATTCGATCTGTGCATGCAGCCCCAAGAAATGCCCTGGCTACTGTACCTAAAAATATATGCACACCCACATATTCCAACTGAACACCCTAGATCATAACTTCGGGGGGGGGACGTATTCTTAAAGCTGGATCGAGGTGCTCTGGGTTCCAATATACATATACTTGCTTAAATTTTTTTGGGGGTTGAAATTTCTGGTTGGGCTGTAGCCACATACACCCGAGAGTGCTATACAAGCCCTAATATACCGATATATATGTTAACTTAATAAGCCTTATCATACTTCATCGGTTCTCCCATAAAATCGCCCAGGTTTCTGAGGCACACGGACTGATGAATGCTCTGGGCACGGCGCAAACCGTGCCCGTCTACGTCGACAGCTGGGGAATCAAACGGTTGGCTACCCTGGCGATGAGGCGCTGGAAAGCACCCATCGGAGCCCTGCGAGTGCCTTGTTTACGTTTCCCACATGATCATGATGTACAGTGAATGTGTTCACATGTGGAGTCAATACTTGAACCCCAAACCAAGGACCGGTCCCTTCATGTTCTGTTCGATGTAATGACAGCAGCTTGGGGCCAGGATGCTGAAGCGGCCGAGGTCGATGATGATAGCCCAGTGGCTGCTGCAGATGATATCCAGCTGATCCAGCTGGTGAAGCGGCTGCTGAGGTTCTGGAAGCCTCGGCTCATGATGACCGATTGGATGATGAGATCCGAGCTACGGAACAGCAGCTGGAGATCTTACAGAGACTTATCGTTCTATTATACATGTCTACTTCGCTGGACTCGTGGATTGTTTCTATCTCTCACTATAGCTTAGGAATTATCTGTCGGATCGTCGACAGAAAGCAGCACGAATCTTGGAAGCATGTTATGATTCGCTGCACATCACTGCTGCATGTACTAGAATTGGACCTGGGATGCCATCTTAGGCGCTAGTGCGGCAGATCCTTCTGCCACCGATACGGTTCCCAGTGACATCATGGTGGGAGACTACAACTTCGATACAGAGTTTGGCTGCATCGATATTAGTGATGATGAAGATCTGGATGGTGAACCCCTGGAGGATCTCCAGGACTTTTGGTGGGGATTGCATACAATCTTTAAGGGGGCAATCAAATAATTTCATTAAATTATTCATATTTTATAAAACCCTAGAAACCCTAAACCGGATCCTATACAATATTATAATTATATCATATTATTGTAATCCTAGAAACCCTAAACCGGGTCCTAACTTATATTCAACAGCCTCGGGGCCCGAAAGGATGACGGTGGACAACCTCCAGAGCCTGAGGCCACCTCCGAGCCTGATGGAAATGGACCTTTGGAATGTCCCGAAGCCCCAGAAGCCCCGGCTACCAAGACTTCGGCTGAACCAGGTTGCAATCCGGAGCAGAAGGTGGCTGAGGAGCCTGTGGGCGATGCTGCTACGGGAACTGCTGAGTTCGATATACTGAACTACAAGGCACCCCCTCGATATTTGGATTAAGCACTCGGTTTGCTGTTGTATTGCATGAAATCGATCCGAGCACTATAATGTTTCATCCTGTTCAGGACACTCCTTGTCGCCTCGAGCAGCACAAGGTGGGCCAGACAGTGTCAGGCCGAGCACAAGCGGCCGAGGAGGATGATGATGATGAGATTGCGGGTTCTGCTCCTACCAAGCCTGCTGCTTCTAGGGGTAAGGGCCGTGGTCGTGGCAGAGGCAAGACGGGCCCGGGCAAGGGTCGGGCCAAGGGTCGAGGCAAGGCTGCCGGCAAGGGTCGCGGAAAGGGTCGCGGCAAGGGTCGCGGCAAGGGTGGTACCAGCTCTGTGGATAAGACCCCCTCCCCGAAAGCCAAGCCTGCTGGGAAGCCGGACTGTGATGATACCCAGACCCCTGAGAAGCCGCCCAAGCCTGCAAGGAAACCCAAAGGCAATCCAGGTGATGAGGGCGATAAGTCTGAGGATTGGGCTTCACCAACGAAGGCTACCACCGGCAAGACAAAGACCACTACCCCGAGCAAGACAAAGACCAATACCCCGAGCAAGACAAAGACCAAAGCATCCCCGAAAGCATCCCCCAAAGCAAAGGCAAGCGCGAAGAAGTCCCGAACAAGCAAGGCAAAGCCCAAAGCTTCCCCGGCAAAGCCTAAAGCATCCCCGAAGGCCAAGGGCAGCCCCAAGAAGGCATCAGGTACAGCCGAATCAGAACGGTCCGGTGGAAGTGCTGTCGATGCTACCAAGAAACGCAAGCGCCACAGCGATGATGACAAGTCTTTCGCACGTCGTGCGAAACCCACAACGGAGCATGCCTTGAATCAGTGGATGGCCATCAGAGATGTCTTCAAGTCAGATCTGTCGCTGAAGTACAACAGCGCACACCAGGACAGTTGTTTTCGGATCATATGTTGTGCTGACATGTTATAACCATATATTGTCCAGCAGCATGCTTCGATCTGAACAGGACAGCTTCTGGATGCTGGCAAAGCCACAGATGACCAAGAAGGCCCCCCTGTCGGAGTGCATCAAGGTTGCCCGCAAGGCTGCCCGCGAGTTCCTGCTTTCGACTCCAGAGGAGTCTGCTGGGGATGGGCATGACTAGCCAAAGCGGTTTCGGTCGTGCTAATTATGTGATATGCTGTGCTCACACTAAGCCGAGATCCTGTAGCCGATTAGCTTAGATCTATATTATGCTCGGGTGGCAAAGTGTGAGAGAAGCTGTTGCATGCGATCTGGGGTGGAGTGTCAAGCGATGCAGCAAGCTCGAAAACAAGTTGCAGCTGATCGAGTTCTGTACTTGAAGCCGCTCACCAACATACCAGAATAAGAGCTGTGCAAACCACCCGGCCGAGGCTGGACGATGAAAAAAGGACAGGCCTTCCTGGCCCGTCGTGGAGTGGTGCCAGATGCCTCGGATGCTGGCATTTGCCGACTCGCTTATTTGCTGTAGTGTTGGCTGCAGGGTTTGCAAGTATAGTTTTAGGTTGGGTGGGTCCTTTGTTTTTTTTGCCAGGGGTTCGGGATTATTTACGGCCATATAATGTGTCGTTCTCAATCTATGTAGGTTCGGATATCTAAGCTCCGACAAACCCCTATATATATTGTATATATATATATATATATAATATAAACTATATATATAGATAGGCTACTATACTATGCAGGGGTTTGTCGGAGCTTAGTTTACGAGTGCAGGTAGTGTAGGACGAATATTATATATATATATATATATATATATAATATATAATATATATAGGTTGCATACGTTATATATATATATATATATTAATATATATTGTACAATATCACACCTATATAGACTAAACCCATTGGGTTTAGTCTATATAGGTGTGATATTGTACAATATATGGAGCCCGGGCCTTTATAAGTGTATAATCCTGATAAAGCCTACGTGAAGCCCCAATCCTACACGCGGCCCCCCCCACAAACAGGACCAGCAATAGTTGGATCCCTGAAGCCCCGAACCCTACACCCCGGACCATAGTGCATTCACGATCCCTGTTGGAGCAGTGTGGCTGCACCCGCTTTGCGCCAACGCAAGATTTGTCCTCGAGGAACACGATGTATAGGCCATTCTCCAGTGTGTGCTATATAGCACACATGGCATGATAGCCTGCAGCATCCTCTTTCATGATATCGTGGTAGCGAAATGCATGCATCGACTGCTACGTGTGATTTACTTAAACTTCGATCGGTGAGATCGGTGCTCTTCTGCAATGATCGACGAAGCCACGCTGGATGCTTGCATCCGAACGATGATAGCCCTGAAGGTCCCGAAAGCTACTAAATCGCAATATGTCGCAGTCTCTTAATGTTGTGCAGCCAAGAGCCCCCGATACTCAGCCAAGGCTTTTGTGGCGATCGTTCTCCTGGCATATTGGTTGGATCCCAAACCGCCATACTGCAATGAGACATTTGATGTCATCGAGCTTTATGCGGGCCGGGCACGGATCACTAGGATTGCTCGGGCTGCAGGGTATATGGCGGTGGCTGCCGATCAAAAATACGATCCTGATGAGAACTCCGCCCTGAACCTCAATTCGAGCTCTGGCTTCGTGTTCCCGAGCTATACAGTAATTTAAAAAGTAGTACCGATTACTATATCAAGGTAGCCTCGCAGTACATCCCATGTCATTCCCTTTGGGGCCAAGGCTGGCTGTCCTGATGGTTCTCAGCGGCTCTGTCGAAGGAGCCATTGCGGTCCTTGGCATCGAGTGCAGCACTTTCGTGGAAGTGAACCGTGGGTCCTCCAAGCGAAGTGAGCTACTGCCCTGGGGGGATGAAGAGGTTAGTTCAGTGTACGAGGCGAACCAAGCGACATCCAGGACAATGCTTTGGTTGCACAGAATGGCTTTCTCTGATCGAGTATTACTGTAGGGTAATATCTAAATGAAATAGCTGGACGACCAAGACATGTAGAGAGAGATAGGGAGAGAGTGTGATTAAAGAGAGAGAGAGAGAGTGTGTGTGTGTGAGTATATAATATCGAGTGAGTGAGTGAGAAACAGAGACACATAAGATTAAGGAGAAATCCGATTCTGGCTCGGGGCCATGTTCTTTCTTCTATTACCCGGTAATTTTATATTACCCCCTTTAGCTATATATACCCGTATTATAATCCCCCATACCCTATACAACACCTATATAAGTCTGTGAACAATCAGAAGCAAAACTGAAAACTTGGGGTCCGGTTTGTTGTGGTCCCTGGATGCAACCAAGCTGAAAACCCCGACCCTGCTGAGCCAATCCTGTAATTGCATTAATGCACACCCTTCGTTCTCAGGACCTGTCTGCTGTTGGTTCTCTTGACCATTTTGGGCCACCACTTCTTTGTCGAGAATCCAGGAAGCTCGCTGCTGGGATATTTTCCCAGGTTTTCCTGGGTCTGTTCTGTGCTGAGGGCTCACGGTGTTCCTGCCACTAGTCTATATTATTATATTGCACATGTATAGCATTGCATGCAAGCCGCTATATATCATCTCTAGAGATGTCGATCTGTCTAAGGTGTACATCCAGAAGTTTTACATGTGCCACTTCGGGCATACGAACCCGAAGAAGACAATCCTATGGTCTACGTCGCCCTATATCAGGACATTCGATTGTGGAACACCTGTGGGAGACCAACGAAAGGCCGGCACCAAACTCAGCAAGCATTACATCGACAAGCAGGGGAAGAAAAAATGGCACGGCACGAAGGACCTGAAGAAAAGTGGGCTGCTAGTCTAATCACTATAGTTTTTAATTACTATAGGGTTCCGTTAGTGCCCGTGAGCCACCTAAGGATCTACCCTCCCCGCTTCGCGAGAAAGATGGTGGAACTCATCGAGCCCTGCCGTTCGATGCCAGGACCGTCTGTGCAGGCGGCATTCCACTAACAATTTATGATGCTGGCTTCTGACTGGGCCCTCGTGAGTTCATTATATAACCCACACATTCGGTTAACCCCATTGTATTGCCCAGCTGCTGCAGGTGGCCGTCGACTCCAATCAGCCGCTCCATGAGATTTTTGCTGATGTATCCTGGGATGACACAGACTGGGATGAAGCGTGCTTGGGTGAGGTTGTCTTGTATATGAGGCTTGCAAAGAATGTGAAGGTTCCTCGGGTGTTCAAGGCTCTTATCGAGAAAGTTCGATTTCCGAGGGACTTGCCTTTCCTGCAGCCACACCAGGAACCAGAGTGATGTATATTACGTAATCTAAATACATGTAGACCCACAATCCTAATTGTAGTCGATCGACATCCTACAGGCCCCGGGTCCACACCAAACCAGCTTCCGAACCCTTGATTAGGCTTGTAGCTCGGCTTCTGTTAGGGTCGATTTTGATAATCTACTGGCCAATTATGGGGTCGATTTTGGAGATTTGGGCTCTGGTGTGGCAAATTCGGCTGGGAAACGATGGCGGAAATTGGCGTCCAGATGCCGGAAATTGGCGTCCAAATGCCGGAAATTGGCGTCCACTCCCCGAACCACATATGCAGGCCCCGAAATGCAAGCTCCGCATGTCCCTTTGACAGGTTCTTTTTGGTTCGGAGCAGCTCCTAATATGGAGCCTGGCAGGTCTTCTAGCACTGTCGGGCAATCCCGGGAAAGCCTGGACAGGGGTGGGGAAATCCTTTCGGGGATCGCGAATCATGGGGTCGTAAAGACCGAAGATGTAGAAGATGAGGCTGAGATTCTGAAGCAAATCCAGGCCGGGCTTCACTAACCTTGATCATCCTATAGAAAAGCAAACCATCATCCGTTCATTCAGGCTCTGCAAAAGAAGCAAGCTCTCCTGAAGGAAGCAAAGGCCTGCATGGGTTCAACCTATTAAGTTATAACAACATTAATCTATTTGTGCCAGACCCGTGCTGGCTGCTGCAGTATTAGTATGGGATGGGATCGAGGATTATAATGCTTGGGACGGATTAGAGCATGGGTGCTGCAGTTCCAATACATGTGCTGGCTTTCTCGTTCCGATCTACAATATATGTACTGGTATATATATATATATATATATATATATCATAGGCATGTGCACGCAGCATGTAATATGTATATACACACGCACACGCACACGCACACCCACATGCACATGCACACCCACATGCACACACACACACATGCACACACACACACACACACACACACACACACACACACACACACACACACACACACACACACACACACACACACACACACACACACACACACACACACACACACACACACACACACACACACACACACACACACACACAACACACACACACACACACACACACACACACACACACACACACACACACACACACACACACACACACACACACACACACACACACACACACACACACACACACACACACACACACACACACACACACACACACACACACACACACACACACACACACACACACACACACACACACACACACACACACACACACACACACACACACACACACACACACACACACACACACACACACACACACACACACACACACACACACACACACACACACACACACACACACACACACACACACACGCACACAGGCACACAGGCACACAGGCACACAGGCACACAGGCACACACGCACACACGCACACATGCACACAGGCTCACAGGCTCACACGCACACACGCACACAGTCACACACGCACACATGCACACACGCACACACGCACACACGCACACGCACACGCACATGCACCTTAAGCACACACATGTGCACTCACGTGCACACACACACACATGCAGTGCACATGTGCAGACACAAACACACACACACACACACACACACACATTCACACACACAGTCGACAAGCACACATGGTGCACACACACAAAGACACACACACACACACACACACGTGCATGCACATGCACACGCACACACATATCATGCATGCACGTACAGACACACACACACACACGCATGCAGATTAAAGCACTCGAGCTGTGCAACTCGATCGTTTCAATCCAAACCTAGATGGGTTGATATACTTCGGTTGCATGACTTGCTAGCTATCGAATTGTGGTATAAATATATAATGTAGTACAATAAGCTTTACGGGGATGCTACTTGGCTGCTACAGGACTCATCCATAGGTCGCCCCGCATAGTCGGTCTATAGTAGCCACCCCAGGTATAATTGTATATGATGACCGATCGAAACCCCAGTCTGGTTTTAACCTTGTTGGGTCCATCAATATACTAATCCCCAAAGTCATCCGAAACCACAAGGGGAGCCACCCAACATTCACATCAAAGCGACGATGCTCCAACACCATCCACAGGCTGCAGCTGCCAACGATCTACAGGAGGAAGGCTGGCAGAACCTCGGGAACTGCAGTCACGTATAAATTAGCCCTGATTAACCCAAATAAATTCCCTGAAAGCTTAACACCCAACCTTTCTATTAACCTATATATATATATATATCCTAAAATTAACTTAATCTATAGTAATTTAAAGTAAACCCTAAATCCCTACATAGACCGACATCACACCCAATCTGCCAGGGGCACTGGCAAAACAGAAGAAGGATGAAGAGGAAAAGGCTGAGCTTGAGCAGCAGCGGTTGGCAAAAGAAAAGGCGGAGGAACTTCGACAGGCAGAGGAAAAGGCTGAGGAACTTCGGCAGGCAAAGGAAAAGGCTGACCAGGAGCAGGCAAGGGCGGAGGAACTTCGTGCGGCAAAGGAAAAGGCAGAGAAACTTCGGCAGGCTCAGGAAAAGGCTGAGGTTGAGCGACAGGCAAAGGAAAAGGCGGAGGAACTTCGGCAGGCACAGGAAAAGGCTGAGGTTGAGCGACAGGCAAAGGAAAAGGCAGAGGAACTTCGGCAGGCAAAGGAACGGGCAGAGCTTGAGCGACAGGCACAGGAAAAGGCAGAGGAACTTCGACAGGCAAAGGAAAAGGCTGACCACGAGCGACTAGTGCGGGAAAGGGCGGAGGAACTTCGACAGGCACAGGAAAAGGCTGAGGTTGAGCGACAGGCAAAGGAAAGGGCGGAGGAACTTCGGCAGGCAAAGGAAAAGGCTGAGCTTGAGCGACAGGCAAAAGAAAAGGCAGAGGAACTTCGGCAAGCAAAGGAAAAGGCTGACCACGATCGACTAGTGCAGGAAAGGGCGGAGGAACTTCGGGCAGCACAGGAAAAGGCTGAGGTTGAGCGACAGGCAAAGAAAAAGGCAGAGGAACTTCGGCAGGCAAAGGAAAAGGCTCAGCTGCAGGCACAGGATCGCATTCCAAAGGATCGGGATGCACTTCTCTTGGAGATAGAGGCACAGAAGCTCAAAAAGGAGAACCTTGAGCAGCTGCAGGCAAAAGTGGCCAGACTTCAGCAAGAGCTGGTGGAGGGGTTGGAAGAAACAGACAAAACGATGCAGACACAGCTCGAACCCTTGAGGCCAGGTGCGACGAAGATCGAACCCGTGACCCCCGTGGCCAACCCCATGACACCCACAGAAATCCTGTCTCCTTTGGAAGCATCTAGCCAGGATGCCCAAGATGCCTGGCCTTCTCGGAGCCTCTTTCAGTCCCCCACGCCACCCCCTGCAGCCACCCAAGCCCCGAGAACTCCAGCCACTGCCGCGAAGTCGGCTGCTCCCCCACCTGCTCCCGCACCGCAGGCTGCAAAGGCCAAAGCCCCGGCCCCCACTCCAGGCGCCATTACGAAAAGGGTCATGAGATGTATGGAGCCATCGAGCAAAGGAGTTTTCAAAGTGGCAAAGTGTATTCGTGACCAGTTTAATGCTGGTGGCACGTCGAAAGAGAAGGTCCTACGTCTCTTCGCGAATTGCGACTACAATTCGGACAGCACTGCAGTAGTCATATAATCCACGCATGTCGTGTTTCATGAGGCTATAGCTATATAGGGTTTAAAATATGCTTCCCTGAGAGGAAATCTTCGTGAGTAAATTTTCTGTGGAGCGGGAGAAGCAGTTCGAGATGGAGCTGGAAACTGATTTCGAGTTTTGCACGAAGAAAGAAATGGCAGATGAGCACAATATGTCACCGATTCTCAGTAGCATAGAACATCCCTAAAACCATCCTATATAACTCCCCTGATCACAATCTAAGGGAAGACATTGCACAGTGTGTTGCAGCTGCCGAGCAAGACCCGGCTCGAAAGATTCGGTGACTTGGTTTCAACTTTAAATTCACCCTGAAGCTAAACCCTAGAAACCCTATATACCCTGAACCCTAAAACCCTTGTAAGTATATATAACCCTATTATAAACCCTGATCGAACCCTAAAACCCTTTAAATGCCGTACCCAAATCTTGTAGCATCTGCAAGCCTGGTATCCATCCGAGGAAGCATCCCTACAAACCCGGGGTCCTGAAGTACTATACCGAACTCAAGACCAAAGGCCACACAAAGAAGCTTGCCTGCAATCATATAATTAATACTTCATCCTCTGTTCTGCAAACCCAATTCCCTAGCCGAGGAAGAGAGATCGATTGACGATGTCCGAACACATGGAGTCTGAAGCCTTCGGCGGTGCCCTGGATATGGAAGTGGATCTTGAGGAGGCCCTGAACCAGAGCTCAAGCCGCCCTTTTGCAGTTTAGTTGCCAGCCCAGAACGATTGTGACTCCGCATGATCTTGCCTGGGCCACTGAAAGATTTAAGGCTCGAGACCCGACACGACGGTGGATGCAGCTGATGGGGCTGTGAGTTCGGGGCCGCTGAATGAAGATCTAAGCAAGGTCTTGAAGAAGTTAGGGTACCCAGAGATCGCAGACAACTCAAAGCCCTCTACACTGATCGACAAGGCTGTTCAGGCATGCGCTCGCCGGCTGAAGAAACTTTATGAGATGCTTCCCTCCCGCGATTCCTCCGAGACCCCGGGAACTCCTACCGCTGCTTCGGAACTGCAAGAGAAGACTGGCTCTTAGCATGCAGTGTTCGTGACCAATAGCTTACCCGTAGTTTCCCACTGTACAACCATAATGTACTCCCGCTATTGCCCAGGATGTATGGGAAGATCCGTGACATCTACAGCCAAGTGGATTCCTGCTGCGAACATTTGCAGAAGTGCAAGGCTGAGGGTGTGCTGGACGGCTACTCTGAGAAGCTCCTAGGCTATTATATACCCAAACAGACACACCAAACTACACTGATTTCGTGAGAGTGTACAAACAAGACACCATCGGTTAAATTGTGATAGTATATGTTTGCCTGTCTTCAAGGATGGAAAGTGAGATCGATGTGGAGCTGGGCAAATGCCGCAGGTTGTAAATTGGCCGCACACAGCCATTGATCAAGAGTGCAGTCGCTGCATGTGTGTTATGTTGTGATCGGTTATGATTCCCCCCAGGCTCATCGAATCCGCCGAGCTCGAAACCCGTGCTAGGATTGCAAGCTTGGTCTTTTGTAGAGCCCTTAATAGCCCTAGCATCCAGTACTGCTGACTTGCAGGACCATCATCCCGGCTGCGAAAGCGAAGTTGGAACTTGGTACCAGCAAGACCTTGCCAAAAGCAAAGGCTTTGAGAGTCAAGGCTCCGGCTTCGGAGCCACCCAGCAAAAGGAGGAAGTGAGCCCGGGCCGTGTCGGGGGATCCTTGCTCGGGGCTGTATAGTGATCTAGCAAGAGACTTATAAGGCTGGCTTGGTTGATCTCCTATATGTACTATCATAGCCCTGTACGTATAGATCTAGAACCGCTGTTGTTGATGAGCCCTTGGTCGCAAGGATTCGGTCAGTATACTCATGAGGCCACGCAATCCGCGAGATTTTGGAACAGATCACTGCCTCTACGAAAAGTGCAACCTGCGGCCGATTCAAATTGCAATTCTCATCCCCAAAAAGCCCTAAACCCTGTATAAACCTTAAACCCGCATTAAACATATATCTGCAATCCCATGGCAGGTGATCAGCAAGCGAGCCACACCCTCCGTGCACTGGCCGAGCGAGTGGCTGATGGAGTGGGTGTCTCAGAAAAATAATAGAGCATGGGTTTGGGTTCTCATAATTTAGATTAGATCCCGCCTAAATACGCTTATAAACCCTAGATCCAATCAAGCAATCAATCCTACCGTGTATATAGTGGGCACCTCGATACTCACGGGGTTTGTGTCAAAAGATGGCTCGGGGGTTATATAATATTAGCTCCCAAAGCGCCGCAAGCCTCAGCTCTTTTGAAAGTCCGAAAGCCAAATTGCTAAAGCCCCACATCCAGTATACCAAGCTCAAGTGAAACCACCCTATAACTATGCATCGAAAGCCTAGCCTAATAACCTAAACCCCTAAACCCCTATAAACCTTAAACCCATAAAGTATATAACTGTAGTATATCCCATCAATTGCAGTCGCATGCCCATAGTGCTCCTTCGTAGTCGGATTTTTTTAGGAAAGCTATCGAAACCCAAGGTGAAGCAAAGCCAGAACCCCTTCATGGCAGCCAAGCAGCCACATCCATATAATTCTATTTACTTTATCCTCACCAGGCTCCTGCAGTGACCATTGGCGATGTCGGATCGGCCCTCCTGAGAGATGGCTGCAGACAGCCGTACATGCAGGAAATGGCGAGGGTAGATAAGAATCACAGTGAGCGAAACGCCCATCGTTTGTTCAACCGTTATGGCTTAGCATTGAAAGTTCCCTTGTCATCCCTGCCAGTGCAGAAATGGGAAGAAGATGATGACCCAATTTCTATCCCATATCTAGGGGTTCGAGATTATGTGCATACACTGATCAACAAGAACAACTATGAGCAGGTTCTGTTGGGAGGATTGAAAGTGGGTCCGGAAGCCGAGGCTTTGTGTAGCACGTTTTGGTCTCGCTACCGTTTCACAAATCCAGATCATGTGGTGTTCCAAGTTCCAGAACGAGAGCGGCAGCACTACATTCCGATCCTGATACATGGAGACAAGGGGCGGACGCTCCAGAAATCGCCGATATTTGTTTTGTCCTGGGAGACACCATTTGGATTGGACCCGCAACTCCTAAAGAACTGCTCGTACGACTGCAAATCCTATCTTAGAAAGCAATTCGCCGATGGAAAGCTGAAGTGGAGTTGCCGTGAGCGAGTGCAGCAGTCTGGCACGAAGCGAAAGTACGAAGCCATGCATGAATGCACAATGCAATCGAGCCCTGGCTGCCCTGGAGGGTCTAAGTTGAACCAGAAGCTACCTGATTCGCACCAAAGGCACAATTCCAAAGGCCACTCCTACCTTAGCCGGTGGCTGATTTCTGCAATCCCTTCGAAGCTCTACAACCGCAATGCATATGCATTGCAAAGTCTCCTCAAAGAGGTGGCTTCTGAACTCAGCAGTCTTTTCAAGGAAGGGATACTTCATGAGGCTTCAGGGACCCGTTTTCATTTCGCATTCATCGGGGTTAAAGGTGATGCTGAATTCCACTGGGAAGCTGGTGAGTTCAACAGGTCTTACCATAACACTGGAACAAAGCATGAGATCATGATCTGCCACCAATGCGAAGCAGGGGCTCCCAATGTGAGCTTCACGGACTGCAGCGACACTCCGCAGTGGGTAGCCACCATAGGCAGAAGTGAGCCATGGGATGCTGTGCCGCCGCTAAACCAAGCCCCGTTTGCTACGACCAACCCGGCATCCCTTTACTTATTCGACCCGTTCCATGTCCTGAAGTATGGGGTGTTCAGAGACTGCATTGCGAGTGTCGTGGTCCGTTTGTGTGGCATGACATACTTTGACTATGATCCTGAAGACCTGAAAGGCATCGAATGGAGACTCGAGCGAGCTTATGCGATGTACAAACTGTGGGCTGCTGCTGCAGGAAAGAACCCCACCCTGAAGAAGTTCACGAAAGCGAACTTCAATTTCGAGAAATACCGCCAGTATGCTTGGGTCAATTGCAAGGGTTCCGAAGCGACGCTTCTTCTGATGTGGTTATCCTGGCAGTTGCAACTGATACTTGCCAATCCCAAAGAACAGTGGCACGTGCATCCGCTTCAAGCCATGAAGCAAACGGTAGAATCTGCCTTGACTTTCGTTGGAGTGATGCATAGCCACGGTCTTTGGTTACCCAGGTGCTGCTCTCAGCTACTTGTGGACTCTGGCCTTGCTTTTTTGCGGGGATACAACTTTCTCGCCCAGCATTGCATCGATTGCAAGGTCACGGGGTTCAGGTTGAGACCTAAACTCCACTATCTAGGACATATCATAGTTGACCTGCAGATGCAATTGCGACGTGGTGCTCAGTTCACGCTCTCGCCGGCGATAGCTTTATGCGAGCAAAACGAGGACTTCATCGGTCGCCTATCGAGAGTGTCGAGACGTGTCAGTGCGAGAACGTGCAGTGAACGCACGATCCAGAGATATCTCGTGAAAGTCCGACTGCTTCTGCACAAGATGTTTCGGCATTGAAAAAAGAGAGCCAATTCGGTTTGAATCAGGAGTGCAAGCAAACAGGTTAATGGATTTCTTCAGCATCGAAGATTACCTTTTCTTCTTCCAAGCAGAAATAGCGATTACCTTTTTTACGCAAGATTCCTTTTTTTGCAAAAGATGCCTTTTTTTCGATGATAAAGCAACAGTGGCGTTTATTCTGGGGGGGCGGGTGGGCTAGGAAGACCCTACACCGTGAACCCAAAACTTTGAACACAACCAGGGACCCGAAACCCTAAAGCCTCAAGCAGATAATTTAGCACTTAGAATAGGCGCATGTTTTATACTACAGTTACAACCGGGAACCCTAAAGAATAGTTGACGCTTTGAAGATGTACGGATGCTAAGAATTACGGGGCTCCGTTTTGGGCCGCCTGGTTATCTATTTGGGTAGTTATCAAAATTAGGGTCCCTTTTTGGGTCCTTATTATAGTACTACGGCACCTAATAATTATTTAGGGTA